GCAAAACGCATACCGAACATGGCTACACAAGCACTCAAACCATCCAGAAAAGCTTGCAACTTACCTGAATCTTCACTTAGTGGCACAATGTCATCTGCGTACTCTAGGTCAAACAGCCAGTCACCTGGAAATAAATCGATGCCACTATCCTCGCACGAGGATAGGGCTGTTTCCATAATCAGACCTATAACAAAGTTAAATAGAAAAGGAGAAAGAGGGCAACCCTGACGAACAGCACTTTCCGTGGTGAACTCGGGAGAAAAAGTGCCGTAAGCCCGGACTCGACTTCGGCTATCAGTATAAAGCGATCGTAATATTGAAATTAACTTCACGGGCACACCTTTCAGAAAAAGGCAGCGCCAGAGTTTAGAGCGGTCGACTGAGTCGAAAGCCGCTTTCAGATATAGGAAGACAGAGATGGTGGGTCTATGAAAAGAATGCCGGTGCTCCGGAAGTTGGCGCAGAGTGAAGATGTGGTCGATACACCCTCGACCGGGTTTAAAACCAGCCTGGTTCTCACGCGTGCGGCAGACAATCGGCGGAGTATGAACCTCTATGGCCAACACTACACAATCGAACTCTGCATACATACCGTTTCAAGCATTCTGCGCTGATAAGAAACGTCTACAAGACCGCCATTGCTGCCGGTTCGCTACCATATCCTTCAATATCTCCAACCAACCAGTTGTGGAGTCTTTCGGATACCAGCCTGGAAGGTGAGAGACACCTACTCTACCTAATGGCTTTGTGCATTTCTGCATGCCTCATCTCCACGTCATCTGTTGACCTCCACGCGGTTTCCTTCATCCCGGATTAGCTACAGCGAATAAAGCGCGGTGCGGTAGACAACACCTGGGCATACGCAATACGTGCCCTATCCAGCGAAGTCTACTAATCTGAATTCGGTGTGCCAGCAGGTTTATACCTGATAAACTGACAAACACACGACGGCTTACCTCCACGTTACTAACCCGTTCCATCAAATGTGGGCTCGTCTCTCTCTCACACACACATGACACCAAACGACCCCATTATTCCATACACGAGGAGAAGTGGTTGCTTAAGTGGTGGTGACCAGTGGTTTGAACGCTGTTATCGGAGTGCTTTGGACTCCGAGGTTCGAATCCCGTCACGGTCACCCAACTTTGATATCGTCTGGTTCAATACCACGTTTATCCTAGTGTGGCCTATTGTTGTGGTTCAGCACTCGAAGTCCCGTGAGGCTTAAGTTGCCGGGTTCCAGCATTGAATAGCAGATCGACGTGACAATGGGGTTCACCTCGTCAGCTGTTCATTACAAATAGTCAGCGAAAACACGTTGTCAACGAAATAGCGTCTTTCTTTTTTGCATGGACAACACCGAAATTTGACATCAATATGTACGTAATGATAAGTCGAAGTCAGTTTGCATCTGGAAGAAACTGAAAATAGCGGTGTAGTTGTGAGCCCGTTTCCAAAAAAGAGGATATCCGTAAAGACGACAGGTATAGGGCGATAATACAAAAAATAATGATTTATCTTTTTCGATTTTGAAATCGTGAAAAGGCTTGAATCAACGACGCTAACTGATTTCGTTGGTGCGCTTTTTTCCAAAGTGACGCAATCCGACGATTGCGCCATCGGGGGGCTGGTTTACGTACATCTACCGGTTTGAACTAGGCAAGAATAAAAAGAGAAGGAGATCAACGAAGTGAAGTGTCACATATACCCACCGGAACGGAAGCTTCTGACAGACGCGGACGTCGATAACGAGATTTGGTACTTCGCACACCACCCGATCGAACAGGCGGAGCAGGACTAGGTTGAGTGGTCTGTGAATGACAGGTATCCTAGACAGAAAAGTGATTTCTTCGTTAAACAGATTTGAAACTTGACTTACCAACAAACAAATAAATCGTATACGCGACCACCATAATTCCGGGAGAAGTTTCCGCACAGAACTGTCTGTCACGGATTTGTGACACCAGAAGTATATACTGTCAAGGAGTGCGTGAAGTGAGATTCGACAGCGTAATAGTCGGGACCCCGATCGTATCGAACGACACCGTTGACATCGAGGGCAACGCCACTGCCAACCGTCCAAATGCTCATCACATCGGATCAAATACATAAATGGATAACGAGGACACCGGAGGCAACACATACGATTTCGGATGAGGCGAGTACGGGCCAAAAAGATCAGCAACGGTTCAGTGGTTTGCCTCAGTTTGGGTCGCACACGAACGTATTCCCGTGTGGCAGACAACATCATGGACTGTTCTGCCGACCAGCGACATACAGCATACGCGATAGCTGTGACTCGGCTGGTCCATCCCAGTTCCAACGTTCGCGGACTGGCGAGTGGGGTGGATGAGAAAATTTTCAAAGCAGTACAACTCACGGAGATTGGACTGCAATACTGTGGCCAAATAATGGAATCGCTTGAACGCCCACACTGGACACATTAACGAACGAGTCGGTCTCAACTGATTGGTCGTAAGTGATCACACTGTTGGATGAAGGACAACAATATTCGAATTTACTCGTCCAAATCATCGGGATCGTCCGAATTCAATCGACGTGAGCCTTCGAGCACTTTTAGTTTTACCATGATCTGATCTGAAACAAAACACATACGGATAGAACAGCGATCATTTCGAGTGATGAACAAGTGTGAGATGAAAAATGAACAGATCAATACCTTAAAATCTGTTTACGAGGCCAAGTAAGGAACAAGCGAAAAAGATATCAGTTACTGGAGAGAAAAATGGGCAAAACGCCAGCGTTTATGGACAGAAGCCGATCGAATTGGGCAAGAACAAGATTTCCGAGGAAAGTTGACATAAGGTTAATCACATTCTTATGATGGATGAAAGCAAATCAAGCTTGTTGCATTATCACGGATAGGTGTCTAGAGTTGTGACTGGTTGCCCCGTCCTTGTACCTTATGAAATGCCCCATACGACCAAGTATTTCAAACAGTTTCTGTTGAGGAAGGTGTCCGGATCTAGTTTGATCACAATGTACACACAACAAGATATCACACGATGACACACGTACCTCAACGGCCACAGTAATCGCGTACGATCACAGCACAGATTGGATGCCACGAGCATTAGTAGCCTTCTCCTAGCTACGCAAGCAAGAACACAGTTAGTGCACACAGAACGTGTACTTGACACACAGGAAGCAAGTCGATTTACAAGTTTTACTCTGATGCTTTATATGACCCAAAATAGCATCGATTAATGCAAGAGAAAGATTGTCAATCAAGTACATAGTTAGCAAGGTTCAATCGGTCATAGGTCACGGATCAGATGGACGGAGTGAATGTTTCTTTATGACGCAATATCACTGATTAATCTCCACGAGATTAGTATTGATTAGAGATGCTCCAAATTGAAAATATTGGAAAAGTAGTCAGTTTTAGGTAAGAAAAGTCTTTTTACCTAACAGGAAGCATCACTCACTGCCATCTCATGGTGGTATTTTCTCACCAAAGTGAGAGGACGAAAAGCCGCAATCCGGGGCTGGGCTCGAGTAGGTGGACCACTGGTGAAAAACCCTGATTCCAAACCGACCCGAGCATCTTCTCCTTTTATCCAAAGCTCAGATCTGTCTGATGATCGAGTACTGCTGTCACATATATACGGGGTGGAACTTCGTATTTTGCTCTTCATCTCCTCGACCGTGTTCAATGTTCAAGGCCATCCGCCTGATCCACGAATCGTCTTTCGACCTGCAATTGCTTTCCCATCGCCGGGAAATTGCTTCGTTATGTCTTTTCTACGGTTACCATTTTAGTTTCTGCTCTTCCCAACTCGCCTCAGTCGTTCCCCTTCCATTGACCTTTTCTTGTTCATCTCGTTCTCAGTCGAACAGTAACCATCCTTATCAGGTTTCGATCCTCTTCTAATTTTTTTTCCCCGAGGAATGTGAAATTGTGGAACACGCTTCCCAGTTCCGTGCTTCCAAGCGCTTATAACCTTATCCTTTTCAAAAGCAGGATTAACAAATTGATTCGCACTTGAATATGCCCCCACATATCTCCTCCTTATAGTATATCATTATGGGGTTAACCCTTTTTTGTCGTTAATCACTTTGTGAGCTATCACAAAAAAGTATATACTTACCGTTCTGCATCTCCACTTAGAGTTAAATCTGCTCCTGGGAGGTGGATCAACTAAAATATGCCGAGGATAATAAACACCGTTCACAAAAGGCCCCTCCGGGTATACCTTTTCCTAAAAGGTTTCAACGAAACCCTCATGATTGGTAATTATGTCAATGTTGGAGCAGTGATAAATTGATGATAGTAATAGGGGTGTATTTTTGTGAACCCTGTTTATTATGCCCGGCCTTTTAATGTGTCCACCTCTTAAAAAGGAGTTCAAATCAATCAACCCTGGTAGGTTTGTGGCAAGTCAACCGGTAACCTGCATGAAAGTCCTGATTTGGTGGAAGGCTTTCGATTGGAGTCAACAGATTGTCATCTGTGTCTCCCTTCGTTGCTGTCAGGCCAAAATGAACTGACTATCACTGAGGACGACACCTGAAAAAACATGAATTGGCATTTTGGTTCAGCTATGGCATGAGCTGGTTGCCACAATGGTAACGCACACGCCTTCCATGCGATGGGTCCGGAGTTCAAATTCCGGAACATGGGACGGTGAATATGCACTACTGATGAGCTCTAATAAGAGCGAAACTCGAGTCTCCAGTGCTTCCACGAGTGTATGGTTGAATCGACGAACTGAGGATTACGCGCGAAGGTGAACTCCGTAGGATAGTCAGCTTAAATCAATAAAAAAAAACAATTATCACACCGCTACTCACAAGAAGCTGAGTTAAATTTGTAATGTCCGGTATCTCCCGTCCCAGGAACATATGAGTGCATTTCGACGAATTTACTGGAAATTCCCAAACATCAACCCAGTGGTGTGACTTGTCCAAATCCTCTTGGAGTGTATAGTGGTCCTCCGGTGTTTTCATGGCCCTCCACAATTTCACATCATCCACGTAGAGCAGGCAAGATGAGTTTAACTGGAAGGGTAGGGCATTCACGAAGAGAAAGAACAGCACAAGTCCTAGGACAGAACCCTGTGGCACTCCACTGGTGACAGGATAGCGACGCGAATCGGTCTGGGCAACTCTGACATTAAACATCCGCCTGAGGAGGAAATCCTCGATCCAGGGTAGTGGAGGGTCTGCAACACCGTAAGCCATCAGCTTCTCTAACAACCGTCCGGTCAACACTTTGTCGAATGCCTTGCTGAAGTCAATCACGACGACCATCGGATACGATCATCCCGAGGTTCCCAGTCAGAGAGCCTAACGGGACCTATGTGATCCAGACTCCTGGTCAGAGTTTTTATACCCTCGTGCAGGTCTTAGCTTGACCACCCTTGACTTTCTTCCACCCATTACTTTCCTCGGCGAACATCGCTCGCCGTGGCAACCTATCTGGTGACATGCATGTCACGCATGCGTAACATGTCCCAACCAAAGTAATATGGACCACTTGCTCCAGTGGACGACTGCGGATACTCAAAATTCTGTGTCTAACCTCAGCATTGTTCGTCCGGCTGCCACACCGGATTCGTGCAATGCTGCGTAGACAGCGGTGTTCAAACACCAACAGTTTATCTTTGTCCTGTTTTCTTAATGGCCAAGTTTCTGCGCCGTACAGCAGAATTGGCCGAACTGCCGCGGCATACACGGGGCAGAATCGTTGATCCTGGTGGGATCGCGAGAGTGCTGATGCAGGGTCAACTGGTTCACGACTGCGAGGTCTTTGGAGAATCAGTCCGCCCCCGGTAGGCGGCGATTTTCGTCTCAGCCGATTAGAGATACATTGAAATCACCCAAAATCAGACAGTGAACATCGTTAACACATCGACGCATATCGTCCAGGATGGTCACCAGGACTGTCGCTGGCGGTCAGTAGCAGACTCCGATCGTCGTGTAGCCGTTGCAACACAGTTCGGTTCTGCACCACAACGCTTCTTCTTGACCGTCAGGATCCGCGTAACTGTGGAGGTGAGTAACCGGCACACTTTCACGGATGAAAAGTATGACGCCCCCATACATCCTTGGTTGCACTCAATCCGAACAGAATGACGCATACTTCGGGAAAAAAGACCACAGAGTCAAGGACGTCTGGGGTAAGCCAGGTTTCGGTGACGGCGATTATCACCGGGGAGTGCCCCATAACAAACGCCTCTAACTCGATGCGTTTGTTTAGGACACTAAGTTCGTTGACGGACACAATGCACGCACGGCTGTGCCTGTCGATGTCAGCCGTTGGCGCATCTCTCCGGTTTACGCCGGGAAAGACTCTGCTCGGTATCGTAAGAGGGCTCCACCGGAAATATGGGCGCCTCCTCTGGACCCGAAAATCCCGGATGAAGGGATCTTGTTTACCATTGGCTAGACGCTCGTGGAGCTCGGCTAATGCCTGCTTTAGCTTCCGCCGATTGTCAGCGTTGAGGTCGCATAGTAGCCTGATGGACTCCTCTTTCAGGCGGAAGGAGAGCTAAAATATGGACCTGGTTTCTTCCATCGACCTAAGAACGACCTTCAGTGGACGGAGGGCGCCGCCCTTCCGTTTGGCTTTCAGCCTGAAAGCGGCTCTCACTCACATCGCCTGCGCCTGGGTTTCCTCGCCAGGGACGAAGAGTCCGGCCAGGACTCCCCAAAGCAAGGATATGTCCGCGTTAGGCCGTGGACTCCATGGACTCCAGCATATTGACAGCTAGGAAGCATTGCTATCTTGAGAAGCGTTTTCGTCGCTGGTCTCCTGCGACGGCCGGTAGTGCTACAAGCCACTCGGGATGCAGGTTGTCACGGGCTAGTTACAGCACTGTTGGGGGCGCGTGTGGCAGCAGCAACTCGGGCACACGATCTGGTGTTGAACGACGAAGCTGGTGGCCCCGGCGACGACGGAATGAGCGCAAGGGCAGTAGGCGCTGGGAATCCAGGCTCGATCGCTGTCGCTGCGCGGCTCTCGTTGGAGTTCGGTCGCTCGTTATTGGTTGCACGCCTGCGTCCCCGTCTTCTCTGCTTATCTGCGGTGGCAGTTTGCGGCGACTCGGCTGACGACGACTGCGTCGTACAATCCACCAGTCCACTTGCAGTCGGCAGGGGGTGCACTCCTCCGCCGACATTCGGTGTGCGGAATGCAGGGGGACAGTCGTCACATACAAACTTCAACTTTGGGGAATCACATGACTGGAGGGCTGTATTGTACGGGCTCTCGCAGCTCAGCGAAGTAAACGGATATGCGCGACAGGCTGTCTCTCGGCTCGTATTCTCGCAGCGGGAGAAAATACGAGGCTTTGCAGGCGACGAACGACGGTGGGGATGCGGGACACCGGTTGGCGAGGTACCACTGGCAGACAGGTCTTCCGTGGGTCGGGGTTAAACCTGCAAGGCAAAGCAAACAAAACGCGATGAAACGAAAAGGTCCAGTGAGATACAAGCACTCACGATAAAATATTACTAGCGCGGTTGCCAGGTTTTACAGTATTCATGTCTGGCGGAACGCTAGCACATGCAACACGAAGCCAAAATTCACACAGGGCCTTCGTACGAGGGCCGACGGTGTTCTTGCACGCCTAACACGGAGCGTTTATTTCCGCGTCGTGGCTGCATATAATTTCATGGTAAATTCGCAGGAGGAAGTACACAAAACACAAAAATATCTTCTACGATGACGGCGTAACGCGAAATCAGAAGACGAGTTCGCTGGACAATATCAATTCGTGACACACTAAACAA